TCAGAAACATACAAAATGAATAGGAGTGGCCCAAGTACAGAACCTTGAGGCACTCTGGAGGAAATGAGGCACTTTGAAGATAGAACCATGTCAATGTGTACCCTTTGATATCGAGTTCCTAAGAAGCTCTGAATCATTTTTGAGGCAGAGTCAGAAAAACCAAAATATTTGCACTTGGCTACTAAAAGACGATCATTTATGGTATCGAATGCCTTTGAGAAGTCAAGAAGAACTAATGATGTGATCATATGTTGATCCCAGGCTCTAACAATGTTATCGGTTAAGTCTAATAGGGCACCTGCAGTGTTATATCCTTTTCGATAACCGCATTGTTTGGGAGGCAAAATTTTATGTTTAGAGAGATAATCGTAAATTTGGGCGTACATTGCTTTTTCTAATAATTTGGACAAAACAGGTAAAATACTAAGTGGTCTTAAATCAGAATATAATTTTGGCTTACTTATTTTAGCTAGAGGTAACACTAATGCTTCTTTCCATGATTCTGGACAGAATCCGCTTTCTAAACAGGTATTCATGATGTGTAAAATGTGACCTGGAGTCGCAACGAAGCATAGTTTTAGCATTTTGAGTGATACGCCATCGCTTCCTAAGGCATTCGATTTCAGAGACTGGAACATCGATTTTAAATCAGTCATATCGATTGGTTTAAACTTGAATCGATCACTAGAATAGTGATTCTTTTCATAATGCTCAATCTTCTCTGTGTGTGAACAAATGGCGTTATTAAAAATGGAACAGAAATAATTAGTAATGTCAGTAGGGTTCCTTAAATGTAGAGGAATATCGGTATTTTGTGCTGTTGGATACGCATTGAGTTTAAGGATCTATAAAGCATTTTTGAATCATTTTGTTGACGGAGGGATAATAAATATGATGCTTTTTCATATCGAATTTGACTCAAAGTTGAATTTCTGAGCTCTTTCTAGCGATTCCAGGAATCTTCTGTCTTATTAATTTTAAACTGATTTAAAGCTCTGTCTCTGTCTTTCATCATACGTTTAAGCTGGGATGATAGCCAGGGTGCATGCGGTTTATTTACACGTACAATTCTTAGAGGTGCATGCTTATCAAAAATTAATTTTAGTCCATCTGTCAAATATGAAATTTTGTGATCAACACTCTCTACGGAATATACAGGGTTATCCAAATTAAGTGTCCACCATTAGTAACTTTGTTATTAGTGAAAATACAAAGTTGTTTGAATTAGCAAACTAGTAGCATTTTTAACGCTGGTAAAAATGAGAAATAAAAAAAAACAATTGAGAGTCGTTATTTTGATTTTTTTCAGTAAAATAACATTTTTTTAAATGGAAACCCCTGTATATTATATTTTTTTCTGTTAAAGCATCAAATTTTAAACAAAAAAGCTTACAATAACTTTTCTCCTAGGTTACAAATTGTTGAAGTTATGGCCTCCAATCTGAAACAATTAAATTGTATCGACAAACTTTATTTTCAACATCAACTTATAATCTCACAAAATACAATAACAATTTTTTTTAAAGAAGATGCTCGAAAACACCACCTTGTTCTTCAATACATTTTTGGGCACGTTTTTCAACTGCTCGAACTGTCTTAAGTATGGTCCTACCATCTATCTGGGTTATCTTTTCCCTAACTGCAGTCTTTAACGCGTCAAGGTTATCGTACCTTCGCTTGTAAATTTGGTTCTTTAAGTAACCCCACAAGAAGTAATCAAGTGGGTTTAGATCTGGTGATCTGGGAGGCCACTGTATTGGGCCATTTGTTCCTATCCACTGATCATTAAAAGTAGTACTTAGAAAATGATAAGTACCTCTGGAGTTGGGGGCAGGTGCGCCATCTTGCTGAAAATGCAGATGATGTCTACTTATAAGATCCAATTCGTCTAAGAAATTAGTCAGAATTTCTGACATAAATTCCACATATCTTTCACCAGTTAGGGTTCCCTCATAAAAGAACGGGCCAACAATTTTTGAACCAATTATACCGCACCAAACGTTGAAACTGAAACGGACTTGTGGGCCTCTTGGATGTACTAACAAAAGATTTTCTCTTGACCAATAATGGTGTTTTTTCTATTAAACATTCCAGAATTTGAAAAATTTGATTCATCTGTCCATAAAAGGTAACGAAAGTTATTTACATTTTGGCGACAGAAGCTAAGATACCAATGGCAAAAAACAAGTCTTCTCTCTGGATCCCCTGCCAAAAGCGTTTGAACTGGTCGGTACTTATACGGAATAAATTTGTATTTTTTTTAAATCCTTTGAACAGTACCATAACTGAAATTAGAGTCCTTGAGAATATCTGCTATTGAATTCTCACGATAAGCTTCAAAATATCCAACAACTGCAATTTCCGTGGCCTCGCTTATTATGAATTCTTTTTTTGCCCTTGTTTTAGCAAAAACATTTTCGTTGCCCCTAAATTTTCGATAAAGTCTCAGAAAATATCGTTCATACGGTTGAATGCGAGCGGGATATAATTCACTGTAGTATTTATTCTCTTGCTCTCAGGGAGGATTTTCTGCACACTAAATAGCATTCTAACATATCACACTTTTCTTCATGGGAGAACATTTTTCTTTAAATTAATGACACAATAAAGCTTATAAACAAGTATTTACACTAATGTTTGACATTATTTGATTTTATCATTTTTTCCCAAAGCCTTCTAGTTGCGAGTATGTCCAGTTTAACAATTTGTCGCTTATCTTAATGCTGTCAAATCGCGAACGCCATGTTGTTTTCATAGCCGTCTTAATATTATAATACTGCAAATAATTAAAAATATTTATCGTTATTTTGACTTTATTTTTGACTTTAGCGGAAAAGTCATTATGAACTTTTTTGTTTAAAATTTGATGCTTTAACAGAAAAAAATATAATATACAGGGGTTTCCATTTAAAAAAATGTTATTTTACTGAAAAAAATCAAAATAACGACTCTCAATTGTTTTTTTTTATTTCTCATTTTAACCAGCGTTAAAAATGCTACTAGTTTGCTAATTCAAACAACTTTGTATTTTCACTAATAACAAAGTTACTAATGGTGGACACTTAATTTGGATAACCCTGTATAATGCTCCAGGGAAAGTTTAAAATATTATTTTGAAATGATGAAATATAAAAATTTTTAAAGTCTCTGAATTTAACGAATTTTTGCTTATGTTTTTTAGACTGCAAAGTTGTTTCACAAAATACTAAAATGATCGGTAAATAAATCCATATTTATGGTCCCGGAATTTGAACAGACTTGAAGATCATTGATAAATATTGGATCCAGTCGGCTGCTCGAAGTATTAGTTATTCTAGAGGGTTCTATAATAACTTGATGGAATCCATACGCATTAAAACAATTTCCTAATTTGCTGTCTGAACTTAAAAAATTTATATTCATATCTCCAACAACTTCAACATAATCAAAGTTGGGTACCAGAAAAGAGAGAGCATTATCAAAAAAATCAATGGCTTCATCAACATTGTTATGGGTAGGTCGGTAAATTACCCCAAAGGCAAGAGTTTGACCACATAATTTCAATTTAATCCACATATTCTCAACACTAGGAAAGTAGCAAATATGGTTCTCAATCTGTAATTCTTCACAGAGCAAACCATTTCTCACGTAAATGCCCACGCCTCCACCGCGACTCTCCCTATCTTTTCGATAGAATGTATATTCTTGAATATACAAAAGACTATCTAAGATGTTTTTATTGAGCGGATAGAGCTAAAATATCATAATCAGAATTTTCCAACATGTAGGCAAAACCAGATAGAGAAGGTACCAGAGACCGAATATTTAAGTGACCATATTTAAAATGTTTGTTTTCCTTCATAATTTAGAATTAAATTTTGTATATAAGATCCACTTCTCAAAATAAAACTCCTGATATGTGTTGTTGTTGGAATAATTTGAAAGTATGGCATTTTTTATCAGTTGGATCATGATTTGTATCATATTGTTTGTTGTACTTGTGGTTGGCAGACACATAGTTACAACATTTGCAGGAGGAAATGTAAATGTTTTCTCCACATTTTAAACATACTTTACAGTTTTAACATTTTTTCGTTGAATGACCTTAAGCAATTTTTGCATTGTGATACTATATTGTTGTCATAAACGATAATATTTTCAAATCCAAATAAAATGTTTCCATTGTTGTTATCAAAAATATATCTAAATAATTTACCTGTCACTTCAGCAAAAATAATTTAAAATTTTTTGTGCGCAACATAATTAATATGAGTAATGGATATATCTCCGTTAGCCACAAAGTGATTTTGTTTTATAATTTCTTCTTGTACTCCTCTTTCGGTAATTTTTTCCTCCGAACGATAACCAACTATTTTAATTTTTGGCTTGAACAATCTTGGTTCAAATATCTTGTAGGATGTAGGCATATTTTTTTTCGATTTCTTGTTTAAGTTGGGTATGAACACAATCTTGAACGTTTATTTCTACTGCTCCATTTCTGCAGTTTTTGACCTTGTCGATACCTATCCGAAGTTTCAAGAGGTCTAAGTTTTAGTTGAGATCGTATCTCGTCTTGTAGTTTAGTTGGTGTTGATCAGGTGTAATGATTATGCTTTTCAAAGATTTTGTCTCTTTGTTTGGTGATGTTTTACTTGCAGCTATCTGAGAATATGAGACATTCTTAGTTGCGGTTGATTTTTCAAATACTTCCATTCGTGTATTTAGTCTTTCCAGTGTTCTGATAATAGTGTCCTTTTCTACGACCTTGGTGGCTAATAGATCGTAGTGCTCTTGGAACCTACGATTTTCATTTGACAATTGATGAACTAGCCTATCTTTTTCAGCTAGTAATTCACTCAGTAGTTAAATTTTCTCATTAAGTGACTTAATTTCTTGTTTAAGTGCTGCTTCCCTTTTTTTGTCATTATTTATTATCGTCCGAATTTCTTGATTTTGTGCTATTCCTGAATCATTTTCATTTTTATTGACTATAATTTTATGGCTATCCACTTGATTTTTACCGTCTTCATTTTTCTTTTTTTTTGCTCATTTTCGACTTTCAGTCTAGAGTAACACTCAATACAGCACTTTTACCTGATTTCTGACTTCTCGTGAATTTGTTTATCAAAAATTGTATGTCAGATTCTGAAGATCAAAATGGCCGAAACTGATATGCAAGCGAGCAGATACCTCACCAATGTTCCCAGGGGTATATTTCTTCCTTAAGATGTACACTTTCTCCACAGATGAATTTTAAATGTCGTAGAACTGGTGATAATTATCAAAATACGGTAGGCTTTACAAATAAGTTTGTAGCAAACTAAGCTATATATAAGAACTATGTTTGTGTTCCTACTTCAAATTCAAAACCGGCAAATGTAAAAGATTCATTGCGCACCCTCCACCACGGGACGTGATCGTCGTTAGACTTGGCAACCCTGCGAGTGACAGATAGATATCCCCGCCAGTCGCCAGTCAAAAAGGCAATCAAACAATAAACATAATTAATTTTTATGGTTTTTGGACTTAAAATTCATTATTTGCGAGTCATTTTTCATAATGTTTTGTCTATGTCCACAGTAATTGCATTATGCATCACGGAGATGTAGGGATTGACACGTCTTACACATATTATCTGTGTTTTAGGATGGAGAGGACAATGTTTTTATTGCTTTGAAGAAATTCATTAACCCATAAATTAATAAATGATATTATGATGTAAAGGAAGATGAGGAATTGGTTGGAATGTATTTTATATTCTATTTTTTTGCAAAGTACAGACAAATCCACACTATTCAACAGGCATGTAGCTATAATGATAACATATAAACACTCATTATATTGAACTTGACAAATTCGAGATTGCCATGCATTAACAAATGTTCAAACCTTCTGCTAAATTTAACAGCTGGAAAATCGATCTATTATTTGCCACATTCCCATTGGCTAAAGAGATAATCGACCTATTATTTGTAAATTGATAAGAACTAGCAAGATACATGAATGTCGTCCTGTTTTCTCTGTACAAAAGCAACATGTTGGAATCAAAAAGTGGTCTTATTTATAATTTAATCGTTTTTTCACGATTTTATTCAGTATCTCAATAGAAATCACTGATATTCAGAGAGCTTTGACAGCTTCGGTCATATTGCATTTCAATAAGACCTTTTTCCTATTGGTCCAAACTGACTAACGATGGTGAAATCGAGCCTAAATCTATTATGAAGTATTATAAGAGCTCTCAACGTGGTAAAAGTATTTTATAACATGGAAGCCATATTTTATTATTTCAACGTCAATATCAAAAAATCATTTTAGCAATGATAAAATGTCTTAATTTACTACTTTTGTGTCTGTACATTTTATACCATTGGTATAAGATGGTTCAACTGAATTAGTTTATTACAATACAGGCCAGTATAAGAGGAAATACAGAGTGGAAATTTTGACCTTGTCCATTAAAATCCAATAATACCTAATATACTTGAGGTGCTTTTGCTTCATACATCCAATATATTATACAAAAAACTTCTTGCGTAGTAAGGTGTTAACCATCAGCGAATTGCTATCCTGTCCGGTATTGAGTGTTTACCTATATCAGAGCTAAATGCAACATGGCTGACATGTAGTTATTCAAACATATTCTATTTGCTAAAAAGATCTCTGTTGTATCAAGGACCACTAAAAAACAAATTATTCTCAGTGGGTGTAATTTAACAACAAAAAAAAACTTTTAGTGTTAGTCAAAACCAGGAAGCTGCATCTAAGATAATAAAACAACTTTTATAAAACTGTGTTATTCTATAGATCTATAACTGTCTTCAGTAACACTACTTTATAATTGTAACGTGCTATGTTTTATAATAATTTTAATAGCGTTTAAACAATTATCTGGTAAAAGCTGTGGGAGCCATAATAAAACAAATTAAAGAACAAAATTGCTGCACTAAAGTGCACCCTTTTTGGGTTTAAAAGGGTTGCATAAACGTTATTAGAACGTTTATAGCAGCATTGTTGTTTTACAAACAGTTCTGGAAACATTATTCTGACATTTATAAAACATAAAATTGTTAGTTTTGAGGTATTTGATGAAGGAAGCAAACAATGAGACTTTGTTTTATTTGGTGCATCAAATTCTACCGGAATATTTGTTGATTCTACCGTGAATTTCTAGAAATTATTAACACGTTCACGATGGCGTGTACCACATGTGGTACATGACTGCTGATCTCCACAGCCGTCGTGAACCACATGTGGTTCACAGTGCTCTTTATATTTAATCATATGTTGAAACGCCACGGCTGCATAAGAAGCTTGGAAAAGAAGTTACGGCTCTACGTAAAGGTGATACATGACGCGTGGTACACTCGGTTCTACGTCCCATCATATTTGTATATTATATAATTATTTTCGACTAACTACTAAATAAACTGGATTTTAGGGATATTTACACTATACTTTCATTCAAGCAACCTTATTTTGTTACAGGGTACAAAATACAGCTAAAACCTAACTTGTAACAACCTATCAAAACAGAAAAACGTCAAAACTAGAAAGAACTAATTGAAATTAAAAAAAAATGCAAATCGCAAAATTAGACTGGTGAAAAAAGTTAAAATAATTTTTTGTGACATGGACAAAACAAGGTGGTTATTATGTAAAACGTACCCAAATAGCTGGAAATAGCATTCAATTTTTTCACCCACGGTTTTCTTGCAATAAGGCTTATTACATGTGTGTAAAGAGCACTGATAAACACTCGAATAAACGTTAATCTCAGAATGTTGTTGTCGATGTTTTACGGCGATATGTTGCTCATGAAGTATCTCTTAATAATGTCCAGCAATAATCAGCAAATAAATTGACACTCCATTTGCCTTAATACTGTTTTTCCATAGCAGAAATGTCTCGGTGGAACCGTTCACCGTGTTCACCACTTACCGCACCTGAAAAAAATCGAGATGAAAATCCAAAAAGCGAATTTTTAGATACATGTTACATCACATTCCTTTATAAGCATTAATTAGTTCACTCACAATATCTTTATAATTATTGTCCGCCTTCACATCGCCAAAAAAATTTGCAGTAACTGGTTTAAAAGCATTCCAAGCTCGTAATTCAGTTTCATTTAGAGCACTGTCAAATACATCATCCTTCATGATTTTCCGTATTTGTGGACCCACAAGTATGCCCTCTTTAATTTTTGCCTCACTAAGTCTCGGAAATGTTTGTTTAAAAATGCAGAAACCCTCTTCCATTTCGATCCATAACTTTCATAAAATTTTTCAACAGTCCCAACTTAACATGCAAAGGTGGAAGCAACACGTTTTTGGGATCAACTAGTGTTTCATGAGCAATGTTTTTTAGGCGAAGTTAATACCTGACTTAGTGGCCTCCTTCTGTTCATAATGACGATCTCGCGCACGACTGTTCCATTCACAAAGAAAACAACAATATTTGGTATATCCCAGTTGCATTCCAAAAAGAAGGGCTATTACCTTTAAATCTGCACATATGGTCCATCCAAATTCATTATAACGGATATGCTCTAACAGAACTTGCACTTTTTCATATGATTCCTTCATATGAACTGCGTGCGCTATAGGTACAGATGGATATTTGCGAGTATTACCGTTGTGTACCAATACCGCTTTTAGACTAAGCTTAGAGGAATCAGTGAACAGGCGCCAATCATTTGAATCATGTTTCTGTCCTAACGCGTCAAACAAATTGTTGTCATCAGAGCAATATATCAACACTTTTTCTTGACGGAAAGAGTGTATGTAGGAGGTCTTGTGCCGGTTTCGGTAAAAAGTAATGTTAAAATCACCGTGGAGAAGATTCCATCCCTTTAATCTTGATGCTAAAAGTTCTGACTGGGGTTTTGACAGATTTAATTCTCGAACTAAGTCATTAAGTTCGCCCTGTGTGATCAAATGCGGCGCTGTTGAACATCCTGGCAGGTCAAACGAAGGATCGGAAATTTTTACGCTTTCTGTATCATCACTTTCAGAATCGGCGGATTCGACTTTTTCATCCAATGACCAAGATTCTGGTGGAACTGGGATAGAAAGTTCATCACTATGCTTAACGCGCCGCAAAGCTGATGATAAATTAAAATACTTAACAGTATGTTTCGATTTTGGTCCAATACCTCTAATACTTGTGAGGCAAAAATAGTAATCAGTAGTTTGGTCTCTCGTTTCTCTCCAAACCATTGGTGCCGCAAAAGGCATTTTACGATTGTGGCCTCTTAACCAACCTGCTAACAACGTTACACAAGTCTTACAACATATATGAGGGGCCCATAGTTTATCTTGATCGCCAAATTTAATTCCAAAATAAAGTTCGTATGCTTTTAGCACAAGGGGAGTAAAAGAAGGTACATTTTAGGAATCCAAAAGTTAGCTCTCCGCTCACATAACAAAAACTGTTCGGACTCTTTACACAATTTCTAGGCATTGTCCATAAGGCTAGTCTCGATCACAACACACCGTTTTAACAAAAATTAACAGTACTCATAACATCTCAGTACTCTTCAACAACAGACTCGGCTGCTATTAGTCTACTAATAAACGGAATATGCTCTCTAAACATAGAGCTCGCATATAGGAATATACAGGTCTCAACATTATATATATATAGGTGAAAAATTAAAGCTTCCGCCTTTTGTTGGGTATTTCGACAGAATTTAAGCAAACAGGACTCTTTACACTTTTTTTAATTCTCTCTAGCTTTCAATGGACTTTGCCATCATCATCAGGAGCTGCAATTACAATGATAACAGTAGCAACAAAAGTGTAAAATGAATTTAAATTGACTCAACTTACAGTAGTATGTGAGGATGTTGCTAATTGTTGTTTACGTATAGGATGAGGGAAACGTCCAGTAACATGGTGAGAGCTGGATACTTGGTACAATGGTCAAAGTTATATAAAATATGACAAGTTAAAAACAGATTAAAAATTATTTAAAAAACATTAGAGCATTACGTCGTGAAGCCACTTGATGATTGCTCAAAATGGTGGTCATGGAATAATGAGTGAGATGAACCTTTGACAGAAGGCCGAAGGTTGTCAATGTCTGTGTTGAAAGATGGAACGAATTATGGGCGTGTGCCAAACGTTGCCAAATCACTTCAGATGATGTGATTTTCAGAATGTTATGTAAGAAATTGTTAAACCGACCAGAGGCAGTTGAATAAACTATATTTTAATTAATGGGAATCTTAAATTAACAATTATTAATAAATCGTGAGAAGAGAATTATTAGATTTTGAGTGGAATGAAATTTGTTGGTGGAATCGGCCAAAACACAGATTCTATTTATGGTTGTGAAGAGTCGAAATTTGGGGAGATATGTAAGTTCTCCAATTTTTCGCAGTTTAGCAAATATGAGTAAATGACACTCAGTTGTTTAACATCTGTCTTTTTGTTGATACAGTTGTTATTCATGAAAATGTGGGACATTTCCAGGAATAAACGTTTGGAAAGGTGTTTTTCTTTATCAAGAACTTTGATACTTGTGTAATTCATAGAATGCCCTGTTGTGTTAACATGAGATGCTAGAGCGCATCTTTCAGGATGAAGCCTAGCATCACTTTTGTGTGATGTAATCCTTCCTTTAAGAGATCTGGAGGTCTGACCTATGTATATTTGGTTGCAGTTGTTGCAATTGATGGAGTAGACTGTGTTGGTTAAGCCAAGCAGCGGGACTTTGTCTTTCATTTTTGAAAAAATGCAGTTTATAGTGAGGACGGATTTGCAAGCAATTCGAAAGTTCGAAGGACTGCACAATCTGATCAGCTTAGGGGTCAGTTCCTTGATATAGGGCAGGACAGCAAAACCAGGTCTGGAGTCCGGGTTGGTGCTTGTACTGTTTGGATTGATGCTATTATTGGGAATTACATCAGTTCCGTTATTATTAGGGGTTGTGCGACTATTACCTGCATCACCAGAGTTCGGCAAAATATTGGAAGGTGAACTAAATAAGATCTTGTTGATCAGACACTTCGGATAACCATTATTGATAAACAGTTTTGATAGTTTACGTAAATTTGAGGTGTGGAAAGTATTATCTGAGATGCTGATTACCCTTGTTTTCATCTGTTTTACCAAATTGATTTTAATATATTAATAATTCTCTTCTCACGATTTATTAATAATTGTTAATTTAAAATTCCCATTAATTAAAATATAGTTTATTCAACTGCCTCTGGTCGGTTTAACAATTTCTTACATAACATTCTGAAAATCACATCATCTGAAGTGATTTGGCAACGTTTGGCACACGCCCACAATTCGTTCCATCTTTCAACACAGACATTGACAACCTTCGGCCTTCTGTCAAAGGTTCATCTCACTCATTATTCCATGACCACCATTTTGAGCAATCATCAAGTGGCTTCACGACGTAATGCTCTAATGTTTTTTAAATAATTTTTAATCTGTTTTTAACTTGTCTTGTCATATTTTATATAATTTTGACCATTGTACCATGTATCCAGCTCTCACCATGTTACTGGACGTTTCCCTCATCCTATACGTAAACAACAATTAGCAACATCCTCACATACTACTGTAAGTTGAGTCAATTTAAATTCATTTTACACTTTTGTTGCTACTGTTATCATTGTAATTGCAGCTCCTGATGATGATGGCAAAGTCCATTGAAAGCTAGAGAGAATTAAAAAAAGTGTAAAGAGTCCTCTTTGCTTAAATTTTGTCGAAGTACTCAACAAAAGGCGGAAGCTTTAATTTTTCACCTAACTGGTCTAGACGACAATGACCACGTCTCAAGTTATATATATATATATATATATGTTACGTATTGTAATTCATAAAAGTAGATCTGTGGGTGATAGAAAACTTTTTTTTTTGGATTTCATTTAAGTGTCTCAAAATACGTAAGATACACTCAAAAATTGTCTTGTCACAAATTCTGTGTTTATCAGTGTTATTCGGAAACTAGGGTTCCAGAATGTTTTTCGTTAAAACAGTCCAAACACATTGACGGTTTATTATCACAATCATCCCACTAGGTCTCTCTTAGCTTTGGCTCTTGCTTCTTGCTCTTTGTAATTATCTGTCGTAACAGGAAGTACACCGTTTTCTATTGTTTCTAGCATTACCTTCAGTTATGTTTATTTTATGCGTAGATTTTTTATTTATCAATATTCTTTTATGTACATATGTTTTACGTTTTTCCTCTTGTTTTTTATTGTTTTTAGTCATATACCACCGGTGGTACACGACCTCCCTGAACAAGAAGTATATGTCACAGCCGACGTGTACCTCCGGTGGTACATGACTGAAAAAAAAGGAAAAACAAGAGGAAAAACAGAAAACATATGGATATAAAGGATTATTGATCACAAATACAAAAATATTCACATGTTACCCAAAAACACATCCGAAATCGCCTACGTCGCGAACGTGATAAATCGATTTAAAAAAAATATGAACACCTTTTTGTAGCAAATGGTTTTTCCAATGCCAACTCTCATTCCAAACAACATCCCTATCCCGGGACGGAGCGGTTACGTCACACATATCGCGATACGCTTGGCGCCGGCAAAATAAAAACAAAACACAGTCGCCATCTCAGGGGGCCTTCTGCTCCAGCCGCCTGTGATCCCGCGACAACCTGTTGCATTCCGTTCGGGACCCGTGATCGGGACCGCGGGGGGCAAACGGGACAGGGTGCGAGAAAAAAGCAGCCGTCGCCGCGTAGCGTTGGGATCGGTGGGATAGGATACTCTTTTTCGGGACCCGCGGGGAGCGACCGCAATCACACCGCTCGAAACCCTTCGCGGCCTGCCGTCTGCTGCCGGGGGATGCTCTTTTAATATACGTGCTGTTTTTGCTGTTTACACCCCCAGAACAACGGTTAACACCAAAAGAATGAAGGGCGCGCTAATCTAATCTCATAATCGAGTCAATTTAACAAAGGGAACTGATAACTCGATGACAGATTTGAATTCATTTTTATAGAGCATTTGTTTTAATGAGCCAATGTACAGTCAGTCGAGCCCAGCAGGGTTATTACGTAAAAAAGAAGGGCTTCGATTTTATATTTTGCAAACTCTGTTATTGCAGACCTTTTTTTTGTCGTATAATTTTTTATCAGACTTTTCAGAAATATTATGAAACGAAGGCAACAGTATAATATATTCACCTAAACCAGATAAAGGTTTTTAGAATAATTGTAACTCCAGGAACATCTCTATTTACCTTGAAGGATTAGGTACAGCAGCAAAAAAAAGTGATAATAGAAGATGATTAAGGAGTTTGTTGAAATATATACCTAATTAACAACCGATACATCCTTTTTTCAAACTTCCTGAGGTGTTTACGTTTGATTTGAATATGGCTCTATCACATACAAGGCGGGCTTATGATACTTCTTTTCGATTGGCCAGTTTATCTTGCAGTTTCTATAAACGCTTTCTAACTGGTCATTTTCGATCCGGATTATACGTTTTGATCTCCGGATCAACCGAAAAATGTTTTTGTAGCTAAAACAGGTGATTTATAAAGAATTTCTGATCTAATTGGGGTTTAGGCTCTTCTTAAACAAACGTGTAATTTTTCGTTATTATGACTTTAGAAAAATTGACTATATTCATAAGATCCATTACTAGAAAGATGACTTCTCATTTGTCCATTTTGATCCGGATCAGGAATTTGGTCTCCTGTTAGTAAAATCGGGACTAAGTGTCACGATGCAATCTAAGTAGTACAGGAATATCGATTACTCAATCTGTGCAAGTCAAAACGAAAATGGCTAAAGTTCACCACTTACTTACTTGTTACTGTATACAGAAGTCTCTTTTGACCAAAAACATTTTATGCGATAAGCTTCCATCTTGTTCTGACAATTTCCAGCGCACGTGTCCCACATGGATCTTGGTTCGCAATAGATTTGACGCTTACTTACTAGCTTGGTGTTAATGATAAATGACAATGGTTGTAGTGCAATAAATTCAAATCGGGTTCGAATCCTGTCTCAAGAGAATTTTTGTCTTGGCTATGGACGTTGTGATTGTGAGTGATGTGGTAGACGGCCTCTGACTGTCGAACGTGGAGGTACCACCTGAGGGATCTCTAAGGTGGGCCAAGAATGTGTGCATATTGCATGCACACCTGTTACTCGTTAGAGTTCGTGTGGCATCCCCCTTTCCTCTGTATCCTCTTATATTTAGACCCACGTTAAACATAGGCCTTACTTAGACCTTCGTGGTGGTTCAAGTAGAAAAAAATATGTGAGAGGGTAATCTCCACAAACCATTTTTATACTTTGTAGATCTAATTTTGATCCATTCTTTATTCTGACGTCTACCACATTACCTTAGTTTTGTTGCTATCCTTGTACCAACCAAACGTCGTGAAAATCTGCATCATATTTTATTCCAAACGTTTTCAAATATCATCTAACACCCAAAAATCATCTCAGCGCAGCGTAACGAAACAGACGAGAGCGATCTCAGTTATCCAGCAAGGAATATAATCGTAAATGCCATACCATCAACCGGTTTTTCAACGTTATTATAGCCCAACAACTAGCGTATTGAGCGCTGTTATTATCTAAGGTATATAGCAAAGTGAATGTAGTGTAACCATATCGATAGAGTAAGATCTCAGAACTGCCAGAACTTACTTATTTTCTCAAATCTTGGTGCATTTAGTAGCATCTATATGTATGTACTTCCACCGCTTGCATACTTGCGAAGTCGGATAATGGTACAATTTACATATGCTAGGTAAAAAAGGTGAGTAAAAATAAGAATAACTGTACTTATTTTCTCATAGCTGATTTTTACGTATAGTTTGTAAAACATCATTGCATGGAAATTTTCAGCACTACCAGAGTCATCCTGTGGCCCATAACTTCAGACAGACACCTTGGAAAACCTAAAAAAGTAAGTGAACTTTATTTTCTCATGCTTGATTTTTATATGTTATTTATGAGACTAACTACATTTGCCTAGCAAGACAAATCGTGTTGGGCGTCATATATGTTTTTCTGCGGTTCTTGGGTCCAAATCAGTGATGAGGTATTGGAGTTGGATAACGGGTTCCGACCACCTGTCATAAGGTTATATTTTTCAAAAGCTTGTAAGGGTTAGCAAGAAATGACTATAGATCATATCTAGTTTTACTTCAAGGTGTCAACATTATTATCCTAATTCGAGCAAAGGGCGGAAGCTTTTTGAAAACCTCTGTACTTAGAAACAATAATAATGACACATATATATATTTCATCAAATAAAATTTTCTACCTTCTTTACCATGACCCATGTTCAGTTTTCTTTACACCTCAGCAGCCGCGCAGGCAGAAACCTAAATGCCAGAGCACCGCGGCTGCGATGAAGACCTTAAAGAAACTTGTTTATCCTACTTTTGAAATGCCTAAGGTTAGTGGAACTGGGAAAAACCTCCTCATGTAGGTTGTTCCACAATCTCGATACACTAGGCCCAGGATGTACCAGGTTCGATACGGTTAGAATGGAAATGGCGTAGCGATAAATCGCCAATGAACCCGTCGGTGCGAAAGGGTCCCGAGACTGTCCGTTAAATCTCTCGAACTTCGCCGTGAAATAAGTAATGTCGCACGAATCACCACAAACTTCAAGTTTGATGGAGTCTGCCATGATAAAGGTAGTAAAAGTTGCCTTTCCATAGCCAACTTATTATTTAGGGCAGTATCGTCAGTCGTTCCTACTCAGCAGAACAATATATGTACTTGGTCACGGAACATATATGATATCAGCATTAAGAAAATTACAATTAAAAGAATAAGTACATAAAATAAGAAGAAACTAAACTGTATTATCACAGAGGAATTCCGTGTATTGTAGCAGCTCTGTGCATTGAGCACATCAAAGCTACTGTAGTTATTCGTAACATAAAGTAAAAGTTGAAATATGTAGAGGCAAGGCAAGTATCTTTAACTTAATGAAAATGTCTCTACAAGGTGACCTATAGCTTATAGAAACAATCATCCTCATAGCTCTTTCCTGGATTACAAATATCCTGTTTATGTAACTGTATTTTGGACGGAAGCTAATAACGTTTCGGTTGTATTATGTAACATTTCGTACATCACCCGCACTTGATTAGTTCTTCAGTTATGTCCAAGGCATCAGTCTTATAAATGAAATCGTGTAATCTGCAATGCTCCTAAGTCCGTGTAACTATCGGACCAGACTATATCTTCTAAAATGTACAGCTGAATTTTCATTTTCACTTTTATCTAACTGAAGGAATTAACGCAGTTTACATTGTGGTAGTTCCTGGACCTGTTCACGAAACTGAACCTTGAGACAGTAATGTTTTGTTATTATTTGAGCATATTTTTCCACTCGCATATTGAGAGATTAGATTACCTCTTTGCAGCACGTTGCAAGTATCGTATTTCCGTGTTTAGTCGAGTGATAGTCTAAAAAAATGTATGTTGATTACTGCGGAGAATTTTAGGAACTTACTCAGAAAAAAGTGGCACATAAACTTGGAAGGTATTTCTCAAAACACTGTCTCATATCTACCTTATAGTTATTTTTTGTGTCATAGAACGTGATCAGATTTACTCCCACGAGTGACATTTTCGCCAGTTAAATTAAGGGTAACAGAAGGACCCGTTCAACTGTTTTTGGCACTCTAGGCGCGTATGTTGCTTGCCACCCCTCCCCTCAGTCTCAGGCGTCCCTCAGGCCCTGGCGCCCTAGGCCACATAATTCGCTTGTATGGTTGAGCCGGCCCTGGGTAGCAGTATACAATGCCAATCTTCGTTGTTGTCGATTTCTTAAATATTTTTGGACTAATACTTTTGTTGTTGGAAAGAAATCTATCGCATCGAAAAGCGGATCGATCGCCTCTCCTTAGGTTAGAACTATCGACTTATCAATGGGTAACGCCACTTGTCGCGCCCTATAGATATTGCGAAATTGAATGTAAAACGCATGATAGCACGATCTTGACCATCGGCGTGTCTAGTTGTGCTAATGTTCATAACAAGCCATGTATATAGTAAAGATTATACACTGAATCATTGAAAAGCAAAAAATGCCAACTAAGTTACTTCATAGATATATCACTCCAAAGTGTGCTTGGTAACGAACAAAACAAGAACATCAATAAGAAAAATTATAGATTTTTTTGTCATTTCTATATTACTAGCAAAATTTGAAAATATTACCTATTAGAAAAATGTGCGTATTTATAAGTATTCCGATTATAATAATAGTGAACGAATTAAGCAATTTGGATAGACAAAATCTCTAACTTATGCCTTAATTTGTCTATCTCGCTTGTTCATTCAAAAGGTCTGTGGTTTTGGTATGCGTCTACCTCAATTGTGAATCACAGTTCTTGTTGTTGTACGGCTTGCTCTTTTCGGATGTTGTTGTACCACAATGTTGCCAAATTGCAGGTAATTACTGGATTTTTCAGGCTTCAAAACATTCAAACAGCACTTTTAAGAGAAATAACGTTGCGAAAATCAAGTATCTTGTAAACAGGAGTCGCCGAGTTCTGCCACGAATCAGGTAGGTTGATTGAAAACGATGGAGTTCTGTCAGAAATAGAATATTAGAATCGTAAATAAAAATGATTCGTAAGTAAAGTAAGCGTATTTCTTACGTAGTTGGTTTTCATATTTTCAGAGACAGCATACTTAACACCTCTAGAACCTGAACTACAGTAATATTTACACCATGTCCTACATTTTTTACAAAGAGCCATCCATATATTTTTAACGTTATATTTATTTGTCAACACTATTTGTTCCTATTTTTTTAATTATTCGTTCAAACTGACAAGCTCTTTGTGGAAGATCTTGGACACCGTCCTGTAATCATGTACGCTTTGCATCTTTAAATTTCAATATTTCAATAAAATCAGAAATTGACTATTATAAAATTAAGGGCCAAAATATTTTATGACATAAAATTCAGTATTTCATATATCAAATCTGATGTCTGTGTTGGTCAACAGCAGCATTTATTAATTTAAGCTCTGTAAGCTCTTAGGTGCCAAAACTAAAGTTAGAACGAGACTATATGTAAAAAAAATCGACCAAAGCAATTGAGATAAATACAGACAACCTGCTTGATACTACTTTCTAACAGACCAAATATAGTTAAAATATTTTTCAATTTTGTTTGTACAACGTGAAGCAATTTGTTTTAACAATGATGAAACAAAAGTGGTTCGAATAATCTCCACTCATGAGAAAAGTCATCTATGTATGTGTATGAAAAAACTAAACTAATGTTCATGTTTTAATATTAAAAAGAAATATATCAGATTGGGCCGTGTTCAGAATTTCGACCTGTAGGGAGTTTCTCACCAATTCTAACCAATAGTACACATCTTTACCACAATTCAGGTCGAAATAGCATGCATTTTTAACTTTATAATCTAGTTTACCATATTTCAGACATAATCATTACTTAGAGGCCAAATTCCAAATCAAGTGGAACTAGCACGCATAGGCAAACACGTTGCAAATTAAAAGAATCGAGAACCAAACAGTCATCAAAGATAATAAGAGGGAGGGGACAGCAAACTGCCATAGAAGGCTATTTTCGGCACTAAAACGATGAAGACATATTTGTAAGTAGTTCAAGACACTTCTACTTACAAGTTCGTAAAGATAGAAATTTTTATTTCGAAGCTGGTGTGAATGACGAAATACACACGAACATTATTATTAGTACTTCTCAAAGGTGTGTTTTTTGAAGTTTTGAACCAACCAATTTCGTAATTAGTTATCAATTTTTAACAAAGGATTCAACTCTCAAGTCAATTCAACTTTTGAGATCATCATTCAAGGGTATATTAAGATTTGAGAATACATAGTAGACCATTTTAACAAAATGCTGTTTGGATACATTAGGGATGAAGAAAAAATGTTATACGTTTAAGTGTGGAATTGCGTCAGCTCTGCAGTTTTGGCATATACATCCAGAAATAACTATGCAAATAACATTTAAGCTTGACTCGATATTGACTTTGAGGTCACGTCTCGTTTGGACGCTTTTTCCTAATCTACACAAGGGTTTCCTACCTAAAAGGTCAAGGTCACCTTTGAGTGACCCTCACAAACCTCAAAATTGTGCTGTTGAATATTTTTGCTAGAGAAAGAGTTGTCATCTGGCCTTGAAATTGCGTTGGATGAGGTTCTATTCGGATGTAAAACTTCCTTACCCTTCCAGTTTATAAGTAGGGGACTTCCATTTAAAAATGTTCACTTGACCAAGAACTGACGTTGAACGTCCTGACCAAGGTCATGACCAAGCTTACCAGCATTTTGCTCCCGTGAATCCTTACAACTTTTGCTTGAAACTTTATTTGTAAGATACTTAATAATTCTACAGTATAATATAGCCATACACATACTACTCTCTCTTCTTAGCTGTATGAATTATTTACCAAGTCCCAAGGCATTGGAAGATGGCATGGAGTAAATAATTGTAAGTACATAGTTCCCTTCGCTAGATTTTTCTTCAATTACCCATGGCAACACTGCAGTACCACCTTACCTGACAGCCTGAGGCTATGGGCCAGGAGTCACCTTCAGCGACGTCACGGCGCGGTGCGGCGTTTTCATCTTCACCGCCGATACCAGTTCCAAGACAAAGAAGAACCTCGGCGAACACATGCACACCAGACCGGCCATCGTGATGATGATGACCGGTCCAAGACAAGCCACGAAAAGTTGTGGTTCGACTCGGCTCTTCGAACATTTCATTTCACTTTCGTTTAGGTATTCATTTGCTACGATCAGATGTTTCTTATTTTTAATTGTACACTTGCAAGATAGTCGTAGTACTAAGATCATACCAATCCACAAACAAGGGTGACTGGATGAGATGTCTAATTATAGCATCATTGCAATGATACCCATTTTAGCAAAATACTCGAATCTGTCATAAACAAGCAAATTATCTCGTTTTTTTAAAGAAATAGTCCTTTTTCTGCCAGTCAATATAGATTTCGATCGAAAAAACCTCTGCAATAATAGATCTTACAGAACATGTTATCTGAGTCTTTGATGAAGGTAAAATAACAAATGCAGCTTTCTATGACTTAACCAAAGCTTCTGGCTGTTTACTTGTTTAAGATGACTTCGGCTTCTATGCAAATTGCATAAATCTAATTTAGTGATAGATATCAGCATGTTTCATGCAATGATAATCTTACAAATAAACAGTATGCAGTGCCTCAGGGCTCTGTACTTGGGCCAACCCTATTCTTCTATTCATGCCAGAGTGAGAATCAGGTGTCATGCGAGTTCCGTATGTACGAATCAGTTGAAAACTAAACAACTAAATTTTAATCTGGAACACTTAAAAAGAAAATTCCGAATCTGTTAAATTTTTAGGAGCACTATACTTTGACGTGGGAGCAGCTTATCAGTTAGCTGTCAAAAACATTATCAAGAAGCATTTACCTGATTAAAAATCTGTCTTATATTAGCAGACAAATAACGTTGATAGGACGATATTATAGGTATCTCCACTCTCATGTTAGCTTCTAAGCTATTGACTAGGATCAATCCTGCCTTGCCAAGTTAATTTTTGCACTACAGAGGCGCGCTGCATTAAAATACTCGTATTAACTTCTGTCTCCCTCTCTTTCTCTTATGATGCTTGTTGTAGAAATGCATTTAGAGATCTCAATATCCTCACACTACTCATCGTAAAAATTATACTTTTCCGATATGATCTGTGTGAAGCAATAATGAAAATAAATATGTTTGTCCACGAAGAAGCGACAAAGTATTGATGACTGTTTATTTATGAACATTTTTCAAAATAAATTTGTATTGGTGAATCATTTGTTTTAAATTGAACGGGAATTCAGAAACAATTTTTATTTGGCAAAATACCATTGGCGTACCATTTTTTTCTTAAAAAATATAGAAGTCAATACCCGTACGCACGCCACTGTTAAAGCTAAAAATTATTTTTGCATTGAAAAATATGCAGCTTCATTAACTTTCACTGCGCACTAAATATCAGTGAAATATCTGAAGCGATTCTGAAAAGATTAATTAATTTCCATTTTTTTCATAAAACTTCAACAGCCCGAGTTTTTGTAGGGAAACATTTTTGGACCATAGTTTATAAAGCAAACTAACATTAATTTTTCATGTAGATTCACACCCTTAAAAATTCGCATATCATTAAGGAACACCCTGTATAATACCTTCCAGCAAGTATCTAATATTCCTGCTGGATAGTATGAAAAATCTTTGTGGGGAGTTTTGAATGCTGTACCTTTCGTGATCAGATATTCCCTATATATTGTTTTAATAAATTTCATATGTTTTCTATAAACGTATTTTTGTCAGTCCTATGTTACTCTCGTCGGTATCCTGACGGTCAATTTCAGAAAAATCTAAATGTATTAAAATCTACTCTCAAAACTCACTGGCCCGATTGGAAACAATCTAACCATTGGAATATCCGCCTTAAATACAGAATTTGTAGACATTTGATTTGAAAATCATAGTAAACAAAATGTGTCAATTTTTGTATATTCGCCCATAAAAATACTGAGTTAAGAATTTTTGTCAGGTCACTCGATTTGGCGATATTTAGACTTGAATATTTGAGATCAAATCCTAAAATATTCTTATGAAAAGGTATAGCCTCGCCTATACAATATGACATGTGAAGGAAGCTACGACACCTCATTACAGCATTAACTGAATAATATGCGTGTCTCTATCCTCCATCAATAGCATAGAAACTTGCCATTCATTAAACCTCTGGATAAAACACAAGCCCGTGCTCTACGCCACAAAGACTCTTTGGAAAACACCCGGCAGTACGAACGGTGTTGAAAGGCTTCTGTATACGTCGTCCTCATACTTTGTGTCCCAGGTTGCTGACGATTTGTGATATCTTCTTTGTTGAGCTCGCTTATTCCGAAACGCTGAAGAATTTTTAGCAAAAGAGGCCGATAAATTGATTTTTTCACAATTACTTTTTGTGATTTTAGACAAACAGAATCTTACATGAGCTATACCAGGAGATATATACCATGAAAACCAGCGGCGTGCATATTATTCATATAGTGTTTCCAATATTCAGCTTCACGGTGTTCTCAGGATAGGGGAGGCTAAACCTTTTCATAAGAATATATAGGGGTTTTACCTAAACATCTTCAGAACAGAAATTCCTTAAGAGACAACTGTTATGGAAAATTTTAATGGTATTTTGCAGGATACACTTCTTTTCTCCGAAAAAACTTGTTCCATAAGAAATATTTCGTATTAGGTGTCCGGGTACCTCAGTTTCTACGACCTGGTTTAGTTTGGACCGGGAAACTGTGTCTTTATTGCTGATGATGTGCTCACTAACGTCTGATATGCTGGTATCTTCACCCGCTACGTAGATGTATTTTACTTATAGGAAGTTTTTTTGTTATTTTTGGATATACTTTCAACACTAGAAATATTGGCACGTTACTCTGAAACACCCTGTATGCAATTTCTCATATTCTTAGTTCGACGAACTCTAGTTACTAATGTGTAAGCTCTGCCCACAGAACCTGATCAATGGAATCTTGTTCATCGTTGTTGGGCGTGAGAATATAATCTGTGATAAAAGATTAAACCTGCTGTATATCGAGGTGCATACGTAGAGAACTCGACAGGGAAGCGCCGTGAGCAAAAGTATTCGTATTACTCTTGAATGAGTCATTAATATACCTGGTTATCTTTAGACTCGGGATGAAGGAATCAATTTTTAAAATATTTACATGAAATTAAGTACCCGATGCGCTTTTGGGCTAAGAGGTGGATCATACAACTTTCGCTACTGAAAAGTATTTGGCAGAGTGGAAAGAAGTCACCAATAGTTTTAAAGAACAAAAAGCTATTATTTGTCTCGCTTCAAGACTATAGCTGCGACAGAGCTAACAGAATAGCATTATTTATACAGGGTATTCCCAAGGCAGGGGTCACAAAATATAACATTTTGTCCTCTTGTGATTTTCGATGCTGTTTTGTCTCAGAAACAGGTACAAATCCCTAAAAAAGCAAGTTGTCTGATTCCAATGACATGCGCTATTTTTAGGGAAACCGTCCTGTTGCAATGATGATTTACTAACATGCCGACTCCGATATTCTGATCCCACCATTTTGGAAATACAGATATTTCGAAAATAAATTATATAATGACACGAAAATTACCCGGATCACTTGCCATATTTAGCTTTTTGTGCTCTTGCCTGCAGGGTAGATCGATAGGAGCAGTATTAAACCAAGATGTTTTTATAGTAATCAAACTAGAATGCCCTTTCAACTAACGTCGTGGCGTATATAAAGGGGGTGCTCGTAATTTTTACGTGAACTTTTCGTCGTAATCACATACCTCCGTAGCAGAATGTGATTAGCACGTTTTAAGTTTGAGAATTACGAAGCTTTGGAATGGTATCGATCCTCGGGTTTAACATTATAATGATGAAAGAATATTCGTAGATATCGAAATGAAAAGCGACTGGAAGGGTACGTCCAAAAAAACCCAGAAAGGGGGTGTAATTTACCTATTATTTACATGTTACCTTTGTCGCACGACTCAACAGAAAACTAAAAAAACCGCTGTACAAGACGCAAATCATAATTTTATCTGCTTTTCTCCGGGCGAGGTAATTAACGTTTTTAGCTTATTTTTGAAACCCACCAACTCAGAGACTTGAACAGATTCATAAAAGCTGTATTGTTTCCAAAGTGGAAGTAAAAGGTATATTCCCTCGGAAAATCACAAAAACCGTTTTGAGGGACCAAATGATGATTTTTATGTAATTACTTCTTTTACTCGTTAGTACTTTTAAGAATCTTCGGACTGTTTTGGATGCAGTTGATTTGGAAACCCCAGCAAAATGTCCAGCAACAGTTAAAAAACTTCCATTGCGCAGTGGTAACAACAGCTGCTGTTGGGGCGTTAAGCAGTTATTCCTGGAATGACAAAGCCATGTAAAAATATGGAAATAAACAATAATATATACATCTACCTGTTTGTAGGATATACTAAATCTTCATAGACTTCGTCCAGGAGAGTTTCTACAGTCCTTTTTCTAAGACGAAATCTTGCAAGGAAATCGAGATCATCAAATTCATCAAAGTAATTCGGCCGATTATTTTTGGCATTCTCGCATCTTCGTCACTGCTATACGCATCCACGTCGTAATCCATAAACATGTTTATAGCTTAAATTAATCGATAGATTGATATGGATTTGTTGTGATTTTTTGAATAAACGTCAAAGTTTATGTCAAAAAACGTCAGGTATTGATATTTAACTACAGCCTTTCTAGTTAACTCATAGATGGCCTTCTGGTTAGTTAACTTCCGTTTTACTATAAACATGATATTGAAAAACGCTTTTTCATATATAACAATAAGTTAAGACCAAGGTCGTAGTTAACCTGCGATTGAAAAACCGGGCCTTAACCGCTATTATGTAATATTTCTAAAAACTCTTGATCTATTAACTCACTATGAGACATTTCGAATATAAAAATAAAACTTAAAATAACTAAAGTATCAGTACTCACGTTCGAAGAGTAATGGTCAAGTAATCGAGCTGCAACCTGTCTTCACGGTACCACCTGTGCGACAATTTATTCTCTGCATGCCTGTTCCCCCACCACCGAAAATTTTCGCTTGTATGCATAGTATTTGGTACAAACAAATTCCGACATATGCTGATCAACACGTTTCCCGTAGTTAACCGGGACCTCAGTCGCTGCGTAAATATACGTTTCCCGTATACCAGACACTACTTTTTTTAGCGAATATAACCGGCTCCCGACGCGAAACGGTTAGTCTTCAACTCGATTGGTATGGTCAGTGTTAAGTCTGGTCTAGTAAACGAAACAAACATAGGAACTTCTGTTTTTCTGGAATAACTAAGGTTTGGCGATGTGAATGTATGACATACCATATTTTTCAAATCAGAATCAAAAGCTCATCAGCGCAAAAAAAACAATATGGAGTCCATAAGAAAAAATAAAGTCAATGGTGGAAAACAAGAGGCGAAACGTTATATTGGATTTCTGATTATGGCATCTTGCAGAGGAGAAAAATTGGAAATGCTATCATGCAATCTATTTTGGAATTCCGTCTCGGATAAAGTCGGGAAAAGATAAAATTGATTATAGGATAAATCTGGTAGACGAAACAAATGACTGTCAGATAATTTCAAGGCCTGCCTACATAGGAAATTCAGATTTTTTTGAATAACTAATGTTTGACAACATCAATGTATGACGTATTGTTTTTTTTATATCGAAACAGCCGCGCAGGCAGAAGCCTAAATGCCGGAACACCGCGGCTGCTATGATGATCCCAAAGAAATTTTGTTAATACGATTTTTGTACTGCCTAAGGTTAGTAGAACTGGGAAAAGCTTCCTCCCGTAGATTGTTCCACAATCTAGACACCCTCGGGACAAAGGAGCGGTCGTATCGGCCAGTTCTGGATGTACGAAGTTTGACACGGTTAGGATGGGACGCCGACGTCAGGCGGGTCTGTCTGGCAGGCACATCGCGCGGCGGCATCATGGAAGAGAGCTCTGAGGAGCAAAGCCCGTTGGTGTAGCGATAGAAAAGAGCTAGATCGCCGACGACCCGCCGGTGCGAAAGAGTCCCGAGACTGTCTGTTAGAGAAGAGTCATCGATCAGTCGGACCGCTCTCCTCTGGACAGCATCGAGCATGGACAATGTAGTCGGGGCGGCAGCACCCCAAATGTGTGAGCAACACTCGAGGCTAGGCCTTATCTGGGCCTTGTATAGAGTGAGAAGGTCATGCGGAGAAAAGTATTTCTTAGCCCTAAACAAATAGCCTAGCTTTTTCCCAGCAGCTGCAGCTATTGGAGAGATGTGTTCGTGCCAGATCAGGTCCTCGGTGATCTGGACTCCGACCAGCCGAAATGAATGGCTCTTTGGTAGAACTCGACCGTCCATCGAAACTGTATGAGCGCTAGGACGCTTTTTGTTCGTCAAAGTACAGTACTGTGTTTTGGAAGCATTGAGCTGTACAATATTGTTGCGTCCCCAAGCAGTGATAGCCTCCAGGTCTCTTGTCAGAGAAGAAGTCGTCGCTAGTATTCTTTTTTCCAGCTCAGCGGCAGAGATCGGCTTGTCCCTCTGAATTCCTGCATGTAGAGTGCTGTCATCAGCGAAGCTGTGGATTGGGTTGATCGTGCAGGAAAGGAAGTCGTTGATATGTAAGAGAAACAGTGTTGGAGCCAAGACCGATCCCTGGGGAACACCCGCGTTGACGTTATGGGATGAAGAGCAGAATCCGTCAATTACGACGGATATCTTGCGGCCAGAGATAAAGTCAGCCACCCATCTGCAAAGCTTTTCTGGGAGACCGTAGGATGGAAGTTTGCTTAAGAGGGCAGCGTGCCACAGCTGATCGAACGCTTTCGTGATGTCAAGAGCAACGACATGAGCCTCACCATGAGACTGGATGAGTTTACTCCACAGTTGCGTGACGTAAGCTAGGAGGTCCCCTATGGATCGTTGGTGCCGGAATCCGTACTGCCTGTCGCTAATCAAGCTGTGACGTTCGATGTAGTCCAGAAGAATCGGAATCAAAAACTCTACTCATCTGGGCAAAAATCCAATATGACGTCTGTAAGAAAACATAAAATTGAAATTCGTTTCGTCTCTCTCCGGAAGTACTTTGAACTTTCTAAGCGGCATTTTGTTGATTTCCTAAATACGTAACTTTGCTCCCGTTTAAGCGACTTCGTATCTCTTAGAGTTTCTGAGATCCCAGTGGTGAGGGCTCAATTTGAAACACCCTGTTTTATTTGGAAAAACCATTTCCATCATAAAATGTACAACGTGTTCCATTTAAAACATACAAGTTCAGCACTTTTCTGTGGCAGTGTGGCACCCTATGTACAAAAAAATACATTCTACATTCTACAATAAACTTGGTAGACTCTACAACTTCCACTTTGTTTAAGATTCACAGAAAATGGTGAGAGCAGTCAATTTGTACAGAGGCAGGTACATGCACAGGTTGTGCGGCCATGAAACAAACTGATTTTATGATTTACGAAGCATATTTCTTGGTACATATTACTAGTCTCCAGTCTGCAGGTTGTAGCGATATGCCAGTTATTTATTGATAGTTTTCATGGTTGTTCAATTAGGATAGTTTTTTCAGCGCTTTCCGGTTTTATGTCAGAATACAACATGACTTATCAAACTTAATGCCTTTTGGATGCCGTCTATGTGTGAACACTAACATGTTATTCTCCATAATTCCATCAGTTGATTATTATGAATGGTCCTCACAGTATATAATTAGATTTTGCGGCATTTCTGGGAATCTTTGTAGCACTGACCGGTATATAACCTTCCGCCGCGCCGGCCGGTATGTCCGGTCTGGACTGGACCAAGTCTCCCTCTTCTCTTTCTTCGCTAGCAGCGTCAATGGAGATTTATTGCTGCCCATGTAAATAGGCAGGGAAGTATTTTTTTTGCTGAAAGTTTCAAATTTAAGGTAGTATGTTCTTCTTGACGCAAAAGGATAACCAATAACCGTAAAAAACTACAGTTTTATTTTTTAAGAAACAGTAAATTTCGCGCTTATAAGCACCCTGTATAGAAGATTCGCATGTTTTTAAAAGCATTTCAATAACGAGTCACTATAGGACGTGAATCTCATTTTGATGAAGAGTTTACTACCCTATCTGCAAGAGTAATTAACTTACAAGCTGCTATAAAGTGTTTTTTCGCACAAAATATCCCGTAGCTCTATATAAGTAACGATTCAAACCTATGGCTATATGAAACTTCCATATTTGCAGAAGCTTTTAAGAATGTAAAAGAGAATGCTTAAAAGCGCATCTCCTTTTGCTATTGAGTTAAAATGTATATTTACATAAACCGCTGTGACTCAATAAAGGCTTTTGATGTAGTTTTTTAGCCATAAACTTAATTTTTGACTCCATATAGCTCAAAAGGTGAGTGTAGCTTCACGGGCGTACGGTTTTATTGTGAGAAATTGCAGATGCTTCAGCCACCCAGATTCACTGTTGCTTTTGTATTCTGCATATATTAGATCGGAATTGGAATATGCATCGTTGATTTGAAACCCAATTTCAACGGCAACGTTAATTCTCTTGCGCATGTTCAGAGAAAGTCTCTCAAATTTTTATCTTTCAATTGTCTAGATTCCAAATGCAGTCCTGATATCCGAAAAGGAAGTGTGCGTCAGTGATTTTCTTGCATAAACTGCTGCACAATTAAATTGATGCTAATAAGATTGAAGCTCAACTAAACTAATGTACCATCTATTGGGACTCGTACCGTTGAAACCTTTTATTGTGACAGCACATCAACACATGTTAGAAAGAGATAGACGGAAGGACATCATCATATTGCTTAGCGACGCTGACGCAGAAGGTCGTGCAATCTGCCGCGTTGCCAATAACTTACACGAGAAAATCTTGGCCCTCGTTTCTATAGTAGGTCAGGTTACTGTTGTTCCCAAGATAAGTCTGTTCGAACATTTATTTGATATTTCACTTTCATTTTGATTAGAATTATTTATTTCAATTTTGATGCGACTTGTGTTTCAATTTACTTTAGAGTTATTATTCGATTTCCACGGATGGAGATAAATTCAACACATCTTGAGTTATTGTTACATTTTTCGACAGCGAGCGGTCAGAAAATGTAACAAATACCATTGCGCAATACAAATTATCACTGCCTGCGTGTACGCAGGTGGAAACCATTTCGAAGCAGAACGACCCTTCCGCTAGATGGGTACTGACGAGAATCGCACATCTATGATCATGGAGGTGGAAATTTTGCTTTGGAATGTACGAGATGCGGTGTTGCCAAGCGAACCAATGATGCAATGTTGCAGAATTCGTGGCGATCCTGACCGTTCATTTCGACCTGGAGCGTCGTTAGGACCGATCCGGAATCGATTCTAAACAGATTCGACACAATTCACAATTTAAAAATGCCGCGTCAGCGTTGCTAGGCTACGCAGTGATGAGCTTCGCTATCCGGCCGGCTTCTTTCTATTTCTAACATATGTGTCTATATACACTTCTCGCTCGAGCATTGAACTCTTGGAGTAGCTAGGAATTACTTAAACAATTTATGATATGTTTCTCATTCGACTAAAATATGTTTTTTGCTTCTTCTCTTGTTTGTTTTTTACTTTAGACAGAATCGCCTACTTTTTGTACGTTTTCTATTTTTCTATTCATTTATTTATATGATTTGAGAAAGCTTAATGTAACATTTGAAACGTAACCTGTAGTTCACATGTCGATACTCCTACATGCCTGAAAAACTGGACCGCTACTAAAAACTCAATCAGCAACTAATTTGTTTAAGCAAGGTTAAAGATACATAATTTTAAGTTCCTTATGGCCAAAAATCGAAGGCGTACACATTCTTTCCTGCTATTCTTCTATCCCACGTTCTTATTCCGAATAGCATTGATAGCTATAGACATTCCACAAGGACCACATTTCCTTTTATCCATCATGTTTTGGAACCTGAAAAGGGGTTTCAACAGATTAGTTGACCTATACATATAAAGCAAATGACAGGCGCTTGGGTTGCTACACTCCAATCAAAAAGTCATTTATCTGTCAAAAGTTCAATCAAACATCCTTATGAAGCAATTCAATGAGTAATGCGAACCTAGAACATTGCTACTTAAGAAAACAAATATGGTTAAGATTTACCTGCAAGTATCTAGGATTTCGATTACCAAAACACATAAAGGTGGCTGAACAAGTAACAGAAAAAGACATCGTACTGCACTGTTTGAATAAGGCGGGACCAGCACGCACCAACTTTGCCGATTCAAAGTCATGATGCGCTTGCAATAGAGTATGACTTGTTATGCTGGTCCGTTTAGTTTCGGTACCCGAGTGTACATTTGGCAATAATAGAGTTTCAGGAATGCAAATCCTAGCAGGTCGGGAGTCAGTTTTGTGGGAAGGATGCAGTTTAGAGTACTGTCATCTTCTAAAGTATACTGGTCAAGTAGAATGACTATACTTCTTAGGTGTGCGTTGGGAGTTTCAGAGAAAAGGGATGCGTCAAATCGTTTCAAAAGGCGAAATCGAATCGTGATTAGGTTTACTTAGGCATGATGAAAAAGCATCTGTTCTCTTACAAACCATGCATCCGGTATACTCGTATATAACTGAAGATAAGTTTTGTCTACTTTAAAAACAAATTGAGATGGCAGAATGTAGCGATGAGATCAAAATAAAAAAATATAATTTCAGGCAAAGTAATAAAAAAAATTATATATATATATGATTTGACTACTCAAGCTGAAATTATTAAAATTATCCTCTTCTACCCTATCCTAAATATTTTGCAAACTATTATAGTTATAAAAAAATACAAAATTAACAACTAAGAACTATTAAACATTCATATTAAAAGCTAATACATTTCAATGCATCCCCCATTATTTTCGTAGCCCATTGTTTAAAAGATCTTCATATCGTAATGCTGCCGTTAGTCGCTGTTCTAAATCTAACAGATTTATAGGAGGCGTGACATAAACCTTCTCCTTCAAGTAGGCCTAAATGAAAAAAGTCTAAAATGGTTAAGTCGGCTGATAGTACGGGCTACCTAATAGGACCGTTTCTTCCTAGCCAATGATTCTCGAATCTATCCGTTAGATTTCTTGTAATTTCTCTGCTGTTGTGGGCGTGAGCTGCATCTTTCGGAAATACAGCATCCCTATTGTCAGCCAGGAAGAAACCATCAAGAAAAATTTCTATTTCATTTTGCAAAAGATGAAGATAATCTCTCCCATTTAAAGATTCATAAAAAAATATAGGTCCAACTAGTCCGAGCCTCACGTTCACTCCAAAACGGTCCTGAAAGGGCCCTTCTCTTATCAAACGTGGATTTTCAGTTGCCCAGTAACGTGCATTATTTTTATTAAATAACCCAAGATTTGTGAAAGGCGATTCATCAGATCACAAAATATGACAATGAAAATTTCTATCTCTTGAAGTTGAGCACGAAACCAGATACGGTAGGCCAGTCTTCTTGAAGAATAATTTTCATATAAGTGATGGTATACCTGATATTTATATGAGCGGAATCCAAGTTTTTTTCAAAATCTGATTCGCTGAATTTACATTAGTTGCTTGTTCTAGTTGCCTAGTAGATACCGTTGGGTCAAAGTGATCATATCACAAAACATTTATCTTCGCTTCTTTACTTACTACGAAAGACTCATGTAGCGGTGCGTCAGTGACGACACCACTGCAGACCAGTTGGAGTTTGTTAGCCATGGCACAGTCGGCATTATTATTATACATCGAACATTTATCATTTCATTTCCTCGTTGTTACAAGGATCACAAGCTTCTTAATGACAGAATGTGTTTGACTAATACTGAATACGTTACATTTCCAACTCCCAAGTTTCACATCATTCAATTTTTTCTTTTTTTGAAAATGATTAGAAGCCTCTGAACCGTTGAAAAACCAACTTTGAGCAATTTCAATTTTTTTCGTGTATTTGACACTGGCTTCGCCACGATTTCCACAAACTTAAAAGCTTTTTCATCCTTCGCATAGTAATAAACTTATGTGAAAATTTCATCAAAATCCGAGCGGTACTTTTCAAGTCATAAAATTTTTTTTTTATAAAATTAGTGGACAGAGCGACAAACAGGCCGACAGTCAGACAAACAGACCAGCGGAAATGAGTGACATGGTTTTTATGATGTACATGTCATAAAATATAACATCCAAAGGCATAACATCTCAATTCTCAATTTCGAAGTTTTTCTCGACTTTTGGCATAGGAGGTAATATTACGTACTGCCACGTAATAATGCATCGTCCTTCAAGTGTGAACCGTATAATCCTTTAGAATAACGAAGACACAGAATGATCGAACGTGTCACAAAACTATGTATACGAGTACTCAGCCCACCATGGTAGTCGTACCACAATGCTTTGCGCCACTCATTTGTTGTCATGTCTTGATATGCCAATGCAAAACTGATCGGTGCAAGTACAGGATAGGCTTCTATGTTTTTACCTTTCATAACTAAAGAATCACCTCTCCCCAGGAAAATGCAAGGGGAGTATGAAAGTAAACAATTTCCACATTTCAGATATGTTTTTCTATATATTGAGATGACTTGACTAGTCTGAAGATGTTTTTGTAACCGCGTAGTTTAAAAACGGCGGTACCCTTTTTAAGGACATTTGGGATGTAGTGTGATGTGGGGGCGTACTGGCTAATGCTCACTATATATCTGAAAATTGGTTGAGTTATGGACAAATAGGACAGTTAAGATAGTTTTTTGTGAATTTTCAGTCATTCTCAAAAAATGTTGTAAGGAGTTAAATTGTTCTATGAACTTCAAATATCGTTAAACGTTCCTCAAATGTAATCATTTTAGGATGTAACCGACAGTGTTAGGGGTCTAAAATATTGTGATAGTAAACTCACTTTTTACTTCCCA